CTTTCTTTGATCCAGTTGTTAATCAGATTATCAGATTAATAAGCGTACAACTTTATAAAATCAGTGAATGTTCTATAATCTTTTTAGTTGGGGGTTTTAGTGAATCTAAGTATCTTCAAGCAAAGATTAAGCAGAAATTTGGTGATATTTATAAAATTGCAATACCGCCAAATCCAGTAGCCGCAGTAGTTCGTGGAGCAGTTCAATATGGATTAGATATGGATGCTATCAAAACACGTGTATTAAAATGGACTTATGGTGTACAAATTTATCCCGAATTTCAAGAGGGTGTTGATCCTCCGTCACGTAAAACCTCCGATGGACATATTTATAAATTTAGCATGCTTGCAAAGAGAGGTATTGAAGTTGGGGTAGATCAAGAATTTTCTGACAAATTTATTCCATATAAACCAAATCAGAGAAGCGCAAACATTAAATTTTTTTATTCACCGAAATATTCCGTGGAATATTGTGATGAACCTGAAGTAAAATTATTAGGTGAATTTAATATTGAACTACCTGATACTCATTTAGGGCAAGATAGGCATGTATCTGTTAATTTATGTTTTGGAAAAATGGAAATGGTTGCAACTGTAAAGAATGAATCGAATGGAAATATATATAGGAATACATTTAAGTTAGAATTTTAAATAGTATACTATAAAACAATAATGATAGCAATTATAATAGTATTAAATTTATTGGGCAATTTGTTAGTAAAGATTTGAACCATTTAACAATTTAAAAATTGTTCCAAAGGTTCAGACTGTCTGGGACAAAATAATTTTTAATGCTAACCGAATTTAATGGTTAACTCAGTTGAATGGTTAACCGATTAGAACAATACAATTTAGGCGGTTCTAATTATTATTTAATAACATTATATTATACATGTAACTTCATTATGTTTTGCTATTTTTTTTATTTTTTATTTGTTATATAAAATTATGGAAAATTTAAAGTTGAACAGATCTTCAATAGTTTCTATTTCTATTGTTTTACCTAGGGATAGGATGGAAAATGTTTTTTATTACGTAATTAAGAAATTAAGAACAGGTGATAATTACGTTCTTAATATATTTAAAAGCAAATTTAACTATTCGGACTTTTAATCATCACCTGTTTAACCCTTTTTTTTATCCATATCTTTACCCAATATAAATAACTAACAAATAACCAAGATAATTTCTGATTTGTCGTACAAGACAAAAAACGAAATGAAGAATTTTAAACCCACAAAGGATTTTTTGTTTTATCGCCATAGCTCCCCACAGATTTAGATGTCGTGTCGTGTGATGTCTGGGCTTCAGTATTTATGATTAGTAATATAGATTGTAATATAGACTATCTATAGATTTCTAATCATAAACGGAGTTTGAATATTAAAACCCTGACATCACACGAAATGACAATTAAATTTCGGTATTTGGGTTTTCGGAATTTTAATTTTCGGGATTTTGATTTGACATAGACCCGGGGTAGCGATACATCTATATAGCGATAAATTATAAAGCCCATACACGGATAAATAAAATGTACCATTATTGTTACTGTAATCTCATTGCATTTTTTATAGAGGTCTTTTTCGATTTTTAACAGCTCCCTTATCTTGTTTAGTGCGTCGTGTGTAACCCAGATTCGCATAAAGAGGGCTTCCTGCGCTACGAATACAAAGTAACATTTCCAATTATGCTAGGAAATAATCCGATGAAGGTCCGAAGCGATAGTACAAGTTTTGTACATCACTGCAGTGTAACATTTAGGCTGAATTCTATGCCTAACATTGCATCAGTTTTCATAGA